GTTATTATTATTGTATTAATATTATTACTATCTCTTTTTCATTTATATATTTAATCCCTCTAGTCGATTTTATTCATATTAGCACAGTAATTTAGAGAATTTTACATGTCCAATATTTGAATGCTACTCTTTTCAGTGTTAACACAATAATTTAAAGAATATGAAATATGATTTGGCCATCTGACATTAATTTCAATTTTGTGAGATGTTAAGGATAAAATTCTTATACTCTTTATGATTAATATAAAAAATATTTATATGTATGTAATTTATTATATATAAACTAATTAAATATAATTAATCCGCATAATATACGGCTATGTATATTAATTGAAAAAAATTAGAAATATTTGTGCGTATATATAGAGAATGGGGTCCAAGAAAGGAGTACGCGAGAGAGAAATACGCAGAGAGAGAGAGAGAGAGAGAGAGAGAAAGAAAGAAACGCAAGAAAGATGAAAACAAGAAGATTCGAAGCAGATTTGTGAGAGTTCACGAGTTGAGAGTGGTGATGGACGTCGCAAGGATTGGTTTCCATTTTACGCCGAGCGATGAAGAGCTGTTTCAGATTCTTGGAATGAAGCTGAGAGGAGAATATGAAGGGGGCGGAGTGACTGAGGTTGATCCGTATGAGAAAGAGCCGTGGCTGGTGTTCGACAAGAATGAACCGACCACGTTTTATGTGTTTACAAGTCTGAAGAAGAAAAGCCGATCAAGAATGGAGAGAAAGGTCGGTTGCGGTACATGGAAAATGGAGAGATCCGTGGAGGTCGTCGACTGGGAGGAAAACGTTATAGGGTTCAAGAAGATGCTTACGTTTGAGGAGAAGAAGAAGAACACAGAGAATGGTCGGTGGATCATGCACGAGTATTCCCTACGGGACGTGAGTATTCTCTCTTGCTTTCTTTCTTTCTTTCTTTCTTTCTTTCTTTCTTTCTCTCCTATCAGTTTCTTTGACGTGTGTGTGTGTGTATATATGTATATATCCTTTCTTTACTTTCTTTATATGGGTTCTTCCATGTACGTAGTCGTCGGAGTTTAATTTTTCTTCTACACTATACTAAATTCATGAAGTGCATGGAATATATATAGAAATTCTGAGTTGTATTGCAGTAGAACCTCATTATCTGTTCCTTACACCTTTCTACGTGATGTTCGCTGTACACCATCTAGCCAGCCATATATATATATATATATTCTTACAAATGAATTTGTGCGTTGCGGTCATTCGTGACGAAGAAAGAAGCCACAAAGATTTCATCTTCATCGTTATCATTAGTTGGAGCTTTTATGGGGACTATCAGAAACTCGCAGAGTCAAAATTAGTTTACTACATCCATATATTCATCATCTTAA